TTCTGTTACTGCATAAATAAATATTCTCAAAACGATAAGATCCGAAAACTTGGCTCTAAATATAAGAATGAGATAGTCTTTGTAATAGAAAGAGCACCGAAACACGAGGCTATCTGATTTGTACGAGGGGGCGTAGCCTCCGACTATTAATCAGATTGCCGAGTGTTTTGATGTTCTTTCTCTTTTGTATCATAGTCAAACATAAAAACACGTTCCCTGTTGTCACAATATGAAACCCCGGGAAAAAGTAACCAATGAACGAGCATCTGAATATGATATTTCTGTCGCTTTCCCTTTCTCTTCCGTCACAATAAGTAAACCCTAGCAAAAATGAGCCAATCAATGGGCATGCTCTGGAGTGCGGGTAACTAATACCTGCACTCCAGTTAACGCACTGTGCATGTATATGTATACGATTTAACTCTGACACATTTTCAACAGAAAGGTCCCCAAACTATGATACAAAGAAAGCTTGATGCATCATTTGAATAGATAACGCTTCTTTGGCTTACTTATTAAAATATCTGGAGAAGAATAATTGTAGGAGCGGATTCAATTATCTACTACTGATTATGTCATGCTATGGCTTTATTGCAACAATCATAACACCGGGTCTTAGTTGTCATTTTTTATATTGCAAATTGAGTGCGATAACATGTTGTACGCAAAGTATTATTTCATATAAAAGAAATCATGAAAAATGTTGAAAAGTAAGTTAATGCAACCTGTGTTGTTGTTTTCAACAGGAGATCATTAGTACATCAAGTCATTATTACATCAAGACTGGTTATTGTACGGGATATTACTTGGTCTATTTTTATGAAATATCATTTAGTGTGTGACCGACAAGTCACATATCCCGATTAATTGAATAAACAAGAAAAAAAATCGTTGTTTTTATGTCCTTGTATGTCTTGTAGTATTTTCTCTAGACTTCTGAAGTTTTGTGATAAAACATGTAATGAACAAACATGATTATAACATTGTTTCTTTTTAAATTCGGACATAATATTGTATGTTTGAAGTACACAATAAGTTTTTGTATTCAAAACTTCTATTTTTCTATGTTTATTAATAAAGAACATGTCAGTGCCGAGTACATTCCAAAACAAATGTTGCCCTTTTATTATTTTGATATCTCTTAACCTGAAGTGATCATCTGTTTTTTCATTTTAAATAATAATGTTTTCATTGGAAAGTTGTGAAAGAATGTTTTGTTGCCTCTGAAAAAAATGTCCTAACAAAAACTTTTATTATCATTACACGTTAACTTTTGCTCGCAGAGCACAATAATAATAATAAATCAACAAGTCTCTAGACACATCATTATGACTTTTTATTTTGTCGCTATGCAAGAGTTTTCATAAAGGCAAACATAAAAGTAAAAATGAAGTTTTTCAGGCCAATCTTTTAGTTATATACCTTTGATATGGCCCATTATAAGAAAAAAATGAAATTAATAGATTGTTAACTGAATATTTTTAGTACAGCAGCTGCTCGCATGGGTTCTGAACAAGAATTATAGAATTATTCCATGTCAGTGGTTAGTTCATAAAAAATCTATATCAACAGTGCTAGGTGTAATAAAATAGCGCGTTCATTTATCGAAAAATATCTCCGTTGAACATAGTATGCATGTAGTTGATGACTGAATAACGGAGTCAAATCTAAGATATCACAAGTTTTGTCACTATCGTTCAATCGTTCTATCCGTGCAACGACGTGATATGTTCTCTGAAAATGACAATCAATTTGCTAAATGATTTTTAATAGTATGAATGAACAAATATGTGATTTAATTTTCCTTTAAACAGGCCAATTAGTGTTGATGTACAGTTTGATGCGATTCTTATTCAATCAGAGCATCAGTTATTGCTATTTGGAGTGTAACATTACTTCCTTCCAATATTATCCTTGTTTAATACTAGTAGAGTATACTTAATCAAGTAAGCACATTATTAATATAGAAAACGCCAAATGACTGCTAATTTTCAAATCATACAGGTGTAAAAATATAAATAAACATTTTTGATGGCACATATTAGTTTTAAATCGTATTCTGCTCATTTTGAATGAAATTGTTTGATTTTGAATTTGGCTCAGTACAAAATAAAAAAGTCGTTGCTTTATAAATATTGCCAGTCTAATCACTTTAGTGTTCAAAAGGCCAGATATTATAGTTTTTTTTGTGTTTTACAACCATGCTTTTGTTGAGCAAAGAAATTTGAATATGATTTACAATTATATTGGTTTGCGAATGAATTTCACATTTAAGAAGTTTAATTCGTGACTATATCACTGAAATTATCATCTGAAATTTAGAGTTATGAATATCTTAAAAAAAAGAGAATTACACCACATTTATTATAGCCATTACAAAGTTTAGAAAATAAATTGTTTGTGTTTGTATTGAGTGAAAGTTTTTAGGAAATCCAAAAAAAAAAAAAAAAAAAAAAAAAAAATTCTATTTTGATGGGATTGTTCGTGCTCCTGAAAAGTTATCGGTTTTTATGTTCTCAGTATTTCACGAAAACAAAATCCTTTCCGGACATTAACGATGGTAATGGCAAATAAGAGATATATATTTTACTATTGAGAATATTTGAACATTTATCATTGAAATACTGGTAGATATCACTTTGATGTGACAGATAACATGAATTATTCAAACTAATTAATTAACATTTAGTTTTACAAAGAAAAGTCAAAACGTATCTAAATAGAAAAATAAGATAAAGTAATGTTGTCCATAAATTTTTTTATCTTATATGGTACAGCGAATGTATTACTCGGTCAATTATTAATCGTATGCTCTCTGTATTGGAACATTACCTTGTAAAGTTTACTTAATGTATTTGGCCTTCCTTTGGTCATACTGGTATTATATGATTCCATATTTCTGTTTCCTGTATTTTTTATATATATCAAATATTGTTATGCTTATTCAAAACTAAATAAACATCTGATATTAAGAACTTGCAAAGAGTAAAGGATAGTTAATTCAAGAGGTCAATTACAAACAGTATGACTCATTAACTACGTAATGCACATATGATACAAATGTTGGTAACACTTATAAACTTAACTATTCTACTCCTTGGACTAAATATTTGACCATTATGACCATTAGTCACTGCCAACAATGTATTGACACCAGCTTCATAAGTCTAGAATTATTTTTCATTACTGTAAATAGAAAAAAATCAAGAAAACAGACTTTTGAAATTGATATTTTATACGCAGTGGCAGATGAATAAGAATAATTCTTTTATGTCCCTGGAAAATTGAAAGACAGATGAGTACAGCATATTGTTTTTGACCTGTATGTGTGTTAGTTTGTTTGTCATAAATACATTTGACCATTAATTGTAGCCCATGAATCTGTTGACTCCAAACTTTACAGGTACAAGCGACCTAATGAGCACTTCCTGTCAGACCTACCTTTGGGCCCAGAGATAAAAAGGCGAGCCCATGACTTTCGTTTGAACGTTGCTTGTATTAAAATATCAGTAATATAGGATATATGTATCGTTATGGTTTATAAAAATTACATATAAACTATGACTTAATTGTAGAAGTTCTCACATTATGTACAATATGGTTAAATGGTGATTGTCCTAATTCATTTAACCAGTTTCTATTATTCTTTGCTTGGGGTTTAAGGTACAACGCCATTACAGTCACAGAGCGACTTTCCAGTTTTAGACTGGTTAAGAAAGGCCTCGTGTTCCCCTTAGGAATTATCTTAGACTGGTTAAGAAAGGCCTCGGGTTCCCCTCATGAATTATCTCAGACTGGTTAAGAAAGGCCTCGGGTTCCCCTTATGAATTATCTCAGACACGAGCGGTAATCTTTAAAAGCTATCGTCAAATTTTAGATGCCTATAAACATAAAGTTAACATTTGAAAGTAGATTTGCTTTATCGACTTATTTATACATGTATATACAGGTGCAAAAATAAGCATGCAGTAAATGAATGGTTTCAATTACCTTAACTGATTTTGCGACAGTTTGATGTGCGGATTATCTGATATTGGCTAAGATAGTTCCAGTGTTTACAATAAATATTCCTTTTAATTCATCGACCCGATATTTCTGCAGCAATGTTTTACAAAAGAAAACCATATTGGTGCGGTAAGATAAAATCTTACTCTAAACCGCTAGGAATTCGTTAGATAGAATGAGTTCTTTCAACATTTAATGCATAACAACGATGATGCGTTACACCACAACAAAATCGTAAACTAACAAAACTACAATTTGAACAATGTTTTTTTTTAAATTTAATGTGAACTTTTTTAAAGAAATGACAGAAATCATCGTTTGCATGTCCTTGTTTGCATATCAAGTTTTTTCAAGACTTAAGGTATTGATGTAGTTTCTAAAAGCATTGCCCTTTCCATTATGTCGGAATAACTGAGTCGGGTTATTTGTTCTTATGCTATTTTAACGGTGATACTTACTAAATTAAGAAATTGTTATTATTTTTAATGCTCGCGTCATAATATATTAATGTCAAACAATAAAAGGCAGCACGATAACAGTCCTTGAAATTCTTTTTAAATTAATCATGAAGTCTACTTTAGTTATTTTTTTAATGTTAACAATAGAAATGAAATTGCAATGTGTTCCGTGTCATTACATAAAACACGTGTTAATAGAATGCGCCTCCAGTTGGCATATTAAATTTTTGAAGAAGAGAGTCACAACTGCAGTTTACCATTAGGATGGGGGAGAGTCTTCATCAATGATAACATCTGCGATTTGAAAATTGTGTTATGAATGATTGGAATTATGTTATCAGGATCACATGCTTTTTGAGATGCTTTTCAATACTGGGATAACTGGCATTGTTTGGGTGCACATACCACTTTGATTTTCTTTCGTGAAATTGTTTGAAATAAGACATAAAAATCAAAATGCTAGTTTTATGCATGTATATTATATATCTCTTTTCTTAGTTTTATTTTGTTATTTTCATATCATAATGTTTAATTCAGGTCCACTTGGATGTTGGGATACAAATATTCTCATCAATAATGTGTTCATTATGCAGGACACAGTGTCCATGACGCCTACAATCTGTATTCAACAATGTGAAATGAACGGGAAAACAGTGGCAGTTCTCGCGGTATTTTCAAGCCCATTTTCTAAAGATTCTCTAAGAAATTTTTTGTAACTATCACAGTAAATATCATAGCAATAGTTCCGAATCTATCTGTTGTAGAAAGTCTCCAAGATCTCACAAATGCCTCATTCATTATATCAGACATGATAGTGTAACTTATTGACCTTCCACAAGCTGCGGCAGCAAAATCTAAATTGACGTAAGACTATAGTGCCATCTTGAACCCAGTAGGCAATGGCCTTACTATTCTAAAGCAGGCAAGGTTAATCTCTTTAACAATAACTAAATCCACATTCCAGATTTCCTTATTGTCAGCATAATTATTCAATATCTTCAATAAAGTCGATTAATAGGTTATATATACAATTTGAAACAGGAAGAAAGCAAGTGCTATTGTGCAGATGTCGACCCTAATGTCCCACCAACAGATGCACCGGCTAATTGCTATAGGCAATGTCCAGGATCGACGGACTATTGCGGGGGTTTTTCTGCCACATACGGAAACGCTTATCATGCTCAAGGTAATATTAAATAAACCCGTAACCTGCTCTTTTTCCTAAATTTTCAACTGTACATATTCAATTTTAAAAATATCAAAATGAAAATTTGAAGGGACTCAGCAAACAATATAGATAATTGTCAAACTGCAAAGCTATGCAAAGTCTTATTACTTCAAGTCCCATGAGTGTAAGCGTTAATAACCTGTATTGATTTTGTTTAAACATATATATTGCTTTATTTTGGGCGGTCCTCTTGGAAGTATTGTACTTTTAGCACAAAAATATATGTAAGTGTCGTTATCATTTTATTAAGTCCAACTCAAGTTCATTTTTTTATTTAATTAAGTGATTCAATCTTGGCCAGAACTTGACCTTGTCTATTGGATTGTATAAATACTGGTGTAATAATACTATGATTTTTTGACAGGAAATGCGTTACCAGGCGAGCTCCCAATTTTACTGCTGTATACAGATACCCTGGCAAATGTAAATTCTGTCGTTCAGGTATAATCATAATTATATTGATAAATTATATAAAATAATAGAAATATAAAATATCATTATATTAAGGCGGCAAATCACAAACAGTACTTATAATTCGTTACTTCATTTCTTAATATACTTTTGTATTTTTCTAGATGTGTTGTTCCCTCAAACATTATTATCTCACATTTGAATCATCTAGTATAACAGCAAACCTTGCCAAATTAGTTTTGCTGTAAATGTTTTAAAGGATGTTTTTCTTTTTACCAAGATTAAAATGAATATTTTCAGATATCATCGTCTGATGTGTATGCGGCGATACCTACAATGTATATGTTTATATCACACGTCAATTTAACAGCTACTGGGTCAACAGATATTTTATATACAATTCACTACAGCAAGAACAACTGTTCTTCTTCATCTGGACTGATGAAAGTGGTTTCTTTTGATGGTTTAACGGACCAGGTAAAAATGCTTTACAAAAGATAATTGAGCCGCGTCATAACAAAACCAACATAATGGGTTTGCGACCAGCATGTCTCCAGACCAGCCTGTTCGCTATCAGTTCCTCTACTTGTTATACGGTTTGTAAGCGAACAGCATGGATCCTGATCAGACTGCGCGGATGCGCATGCTGTTCTGGGTCCATGCTGGTCGCAAACGCATTATGTTGGTTTTGTCATGGCACGGCTCAATTCACATTTTTGTAAACCTTTCTGCATTATACAATATTTCTTATTCATTTTCTTTTACCAATCTATCCATAAGATAACATTAATACTCTAAATGTCAGGATTTGTTTTTCCTATTTCAAACATAAAATGTCTATGCTACAAGGTAAAATCACAAGAAGCAAATTTATCATGTCACTCATGTTTCTTCAGATATACTTTTCAAAACTTTTTAAAGCATAAATAGTTAATTAATGATAATAAAGCTGATCTTAAAAACGATCTTATTTTTTGTCTCCCTTCAGATATTTTATGGAAATGGAACCAAAGCCAGTGTTGATATGCTAAAAGCACGTTGTGTCGAATTTACCTTTGATCAGCCTCTCGTATCAGTTACGATAGAACTCTGGGGCCCTGATGGTAAAATATCTATAACTTTAAAAAAATAGTCGACTTGTGTAGAAACGTTTATTATTGTATTGAATATCAGTATGTAACAACTAATACATTCAAATGTTCTGTTAACCTGTAAGTAAACTTTTTATTAAATCAAGATACAAATATGACAGAAGCAACAGAAGAAGGCAATTAAATCAATTCTCATTTGTCGAATCATTTAGCTCACCGAGCACCATAAATTTTCTTTTCATATGTAAGATTTTGTGATAGCATGATAAGCGTGGCCCGTCTTTCCTTATCCACAATTATTTTCCATCTCATTGTAAAATACAATGTAGATTTAGAGCAATTATCACAGGAATGATTTGGAAGAACCTTTACAAAAGATTTATAAATATGAGGCTTGTTGCAATATGTTGTCGCATTTTACAATTACAAAATTTATATCGAACATGCACTTTGGTTGAAAGTAACCCATCACCTGGAAGAAAAAATAGCAAGCTGACACATTTGGCCTGCTACTTGTTATATAAATCATGTTGAAATTGTCTACGTCCTGAAAAGACTCGTTTATCTTCTTCTGCACTAAATGATTTTCTAGCAATACTTATCAGGCGGTTTTATATAATGAAGTCATTTTGACGCCATACTTGTTAACCTTGTAAACTGGTGTTTGTGTAAACTTGTTCTTGCAATACAAAATAATTATTTACGTTTGTGGATATTGACAAGTATTGATGACAAATAATGTTGTTGATTTTCAGTTTATTAGTATATTTTTCTAAAATATGTGGGAAGTGCAATTAAGCTAAGGGATATTATGTGTACAAAGTTATAATTCAAAATTAATTAGTATCTCTGCATGACGCAAAAAACATCATTAAAATGAAATTAGTGATTCTAACTAGTTATGTATAATGTGAATCCAAACATGTTCTTTTAAATTGCCACTGCAAAAAAAAAATCACATTTTAATCAATTAATTGATAATTGACTAATTTAAAGTGCAGTAGGTTCTCATGTTTGCATAATTGCACTTTTCATATTGAATGTTTTGTAGATGTGCCTTGTAATTTTAATTTTACATCTTGAATGACAGTCGTTTTTGTTAAAGACTGCGTATAATTTTAAATATCAAAATTTATCGCATATTTGATGTTGAAAAATAAAATAAAATATTTAAAATGACATCATTTTAAGAAATACACGCTCCTTTACGAACTCATTCTTTATCTTAAATGCTACACTTAACATTAAATTATTAAAATTTACTCTTATGAAATCTTTTTGTTTTGTATCTGACTAGATTTTATACTTTCCCACTGAAAAAAAAAAGCAAACAAAAAACAACTCATCACTATATCTCCCACGGCCATAAATGTATAAAAACAACAACAAAAACAATGGCACGTAAGTATTCATGTAAAGATATACTATGCTAATCTTTGAATAAAATTCAAATTGCAAATATAAAATTGAAAGCAAGGAAATTATTACTGAAAATGTATAATTTGACCAAACGAATTCACACACTGTGTGTGGGAAGCTGCATTCACTTTGATGACAGATTATGTAAAATTGACTATTTTTGGCACCATGTTAAACAAATCTATTCTGTATAAACTGAAACAGGTTTATATCAATATTTATTAAGAGACTGTATAGCAATTATCTTGAAATATGAAACTACAGCATAATTTAGCCTCAACCCTTCTATACACAACTATTTCTTTCTAATTTCTTTTTAAAAGATCTTAGAATCGAATTCTGAAATATTGAAATATATGTCACATTCACATACATATATTGATAATTTTAAATAACAGATTCAATCTAGTTGATATAAAAAAGCAAGTAAGAATAACAAATTAAACCCACAACAAATGATAAAAACAGATGAAAAATAAATAAATGAAAGAAAGAAATGAAGCAAAACGCTAAAAAAAACAGTAATTTTTAATTATCGGCTTAGGTTTTTAGCAAAACTCTTTCGACAAGTTTTATTGCCTATGGTGGCGTTTGACAATAACACGTGTACTATTCCATATTCACACAAATATCACGTTTATAATGATTTCAAAACTTGAGCTATTCAAATAATATTACTTGTTTATAATTCTATCAAAACTAACCTACTCACTTTATAACACATTAAGTAAATTAAATGAGAGCTTTATAGCTTCTGCCCAAGCCCATATTTTTATGCAGAATAATACAACAATGTGTAGAAAGGGGCTGTATTAAACATCTATTAGCAATTTATAAGAACAAAAGTAACAACAATACATGTTATTGATTTGACCAGTTACAGATCATCATCATACATATTTCATTGACATATATGTGAAAATAGAAGTGTAAAACTATAAAACATAAAATAATGAAACAATACAGAAATGCTGGTGTCATCGCACAAAGTATAATTATATTAGTTTTATCCGTTATAGGGTACACAAAGAATTGCAATATTATCATAGATTTTAATAAGTCAGCGCTTCAATTTATTTATAACATTAAATTGTTTTAATAATGCTAGTAAATACCGAAATGCAAACACGACAATAAGATAATGTTGAAAAATATACTACTACTTCAGTAAACATGCAAGACATTAGGTTCATAGTCGAATTTTCAAAGATTTAGCAGTGTATGCCTATTAAAAATTGCATCAATTCGAGAACTTATGAACACTTGGTCTTTTTGAAAAATAAACAAAACGATTAAATGAAATGTTAACTAAAATGTAAATAAATTGTACAAAATAGTATTCGTCTTTTACATCATTTATATCGCATAATAAATACAAACGCTGGTTTCTATCAAATCTGTTTCTGCCATGTCGACCAACTTCAATATTGAGCTGATGAGTTGAAAGGCGTTATCGAGATAGAACAGTTCTTTAAAAACATAGAGTCGCTCAATGCAATTTTGTTAGACCAAGATTGTTTAGAAATATCAAGAACCCGTTCTTTAAACAACAGATGAAATGTTTTTAGGTTTCTACAATCTGGATTGTGAAGCACATGTGAAAAAACTATAGTTGTCTAATAAATTTTCAACATCCTCAATATTATAAAAAGTACCATAGCACCAAACTTCACAAACATAATTGAGTGTGGTTATATTCTCTGGTTCTTCGGGATCATTGATTCCAGCACTTTAGTCGTTGCTAGTGGGCGTGAGGTATGGTGCACATTTTCATTATCCCTCATGTACAGACTCAATCAAACCTGCAATTTTCATGCAATTTTGTTGTGATTAATGCTTTATAGGGATCATACTTTTTCCAGATTTTTGTTATGTTTTATTTCACTTGTTGCTTTCTAAAGGGATTCAATAATCTCAAGCACACGGAATAAAATTTTTCTAACAAGTTACTTTTTTATCATGCCAGTGTTAATTCATTTGTATAAAATGATCTATACTAAGTTTACTTTCTATTGCAGATAGTTTTGACCATGTTACAGCATCTGCTTTAGTTGTTAGAGGAAAGAAATATATTACAGGTTTGTATAACAAAGAGTTATACTGAAATCTGTATATACTGCTACGAAATGGAAACAATTATATTTTAAACACATTTTCCTTGTCTCCCCTAAGGACAAATTTAGACTAATTCAAGTCTGGAGGGTTTTTTAATACAAGTTTGAAAGTTTTTTCGTACTGTTCTAAGTTTTCAAAGGATCTTTCATATTTCAGATTATAAAATAAATTCAATAAAATATAACAATCAGAGAGATAAATGTCAGTTTGTACATTATAAAGTAATACCCCTGTTTTGGTAAATGTTCTTACATGCACTGGTATATACACTTATTACATGCTTTTCGGTGGTTTATAGAAATATATCAGTGATATAAAACTGGTAATTTCACTGTTTGAAACAGTGAAATTACCACTTTGATAATTTCACTGTTTTGAATTTAAGCCCCTTACGTTGTTTCAGTGAAATATCAGCGTGCACAGTACTGGGTACCAACTTAATGACGTGACGTCATTTACGACGTCACGTTGTATTATTATTTGCCACGCATTTCATTCAGTATTAGGTTTAATGTCTTTTTAAAACGTTTCTTTGCATGTAATAAAAAGAAAATTTGTTTAGTTTAGTGTAAGATTGAAATATATTTCACCTTGTGAACACCAAAAGTTCATATTTCACTCGTGGCTGCGCCACTCGTGAAATATACCTTTTGGTGCTCACTCGGTGAAATATATTCCGATCTTACACTGAACTAAACAAATATCCTCTATATATTTATGGTTATTAATTACTTTAATTTCTTTAACTGTTACACCAGCTACTACATCTACTAGTCCTACCACTACCACAACTTCCCCTCCAACAACTACGTCCACAACCCAGCAACCTACAACTACATCTACTACATCAACTTCAACAACAACTGCTGCACCCACTACTACTTCAACAACAACTGCTGCACCCACTACTACTTCAACAACAACTGCTGCACCCACTACTACTTCAACAACAACTGCTGCACCCACTACTACTTCAACAACAACTGCTGCACCTACTACTACTTCAACAACAACTGCTGCACCCACTACTACTTCATCAACAAACTCGCCAACTACTTCAACGACTGTTGCACAAACATCTTCAACCTCTACGACTACGACTACAACGTCCATGCCAGCATCAACAACTACTACTGCGGGTACACCAGCTACAATTTCATCGGCATCAACATCATCAACAACAGCTGTACCCAAATGCACATGTCCGTGTAATTCATCATTTCCTCAATTAAATATGACCACGGAGAAATTACAGGTATTATAGCTATTATCTGAATATATATTTACCTAAGACGTAACATTGTAATTTATTTCTGATGTTCATTTCACCAATGGCAAATAACTAGATTGGGTTTCAAATCGCACGGGTTTTAAATAACACCAAAACTGCAAATATCATATGGTGATATTCCAGCTTCACTTGTGGAAGAAGACTTCTGTTGCCTCCGTGCATGATTTCAGGCATGAGCAGACACCTGATATGAACCTCCGACGTCCCTTTAGCTAGCTGGATAGTTTCCTCACATGTAAGAATCATGGCGGAATTAAAATTCAAGGCTTTAAGGGGCACGTGGTAAGAAGTCAAAGACCTTAAGAACTCGACCACGGACCCCTTATACACATAGCTAATCATATATGAAATGTAAAAACATCTGTTCTGCTTTATTTTCTTTAAAATTTGATTTTATTAGGCAGAATTTGTATTAAACTTAAAGTATCAACATATAAGTATATGAAATATATATTAAAATTTAATTATTCAAAAATATCAATTCTTGTGATTGTTATATTGGTGGAGTGGTGGAGGGATACCTCAAGTGACCATCCATACATGATTTCAGGCACAAACAGGCACCCGAGTAAAACAACAGACGTTTCGTAAGCTAGGTGGATAGCTTCCTCACATGAAAAAAAAATCTGAAATCCCTTTCGGGACTCGAACCCACAGTGGTGAGGGGCAAGTTGTTTGAAGTCAAGAACATTAATTCATTATATCGTTAAACTAGTATATGTTATTGTTATATTATAAGGAGAAAATTCTAGAAATACAGCGCCGTCTTGCTGTAAATGTGTCAACGCTATCATCAACGATACGGAAGTTAACAAGCGCAGAAGATTCGCGAGTATCTGCAGTGAGCATCGGATATGTTGGTGTTGGTATCCTGGTTTGTATTCTTGCATCAATAGTGTTTATAGACTCTGCAAGGTTGCTCAGAGACCTAAAGAAATTATTACACAACATTAGGGATGGGTTGTGTCCTAAAACTGTGGAGAATTCTCCAGTCAGCTAGCATTTTGAAAAATAGAGTAAAAGAATACTATTGTTTATAACAGACACAAAGTTTCAGTCTCGACAAGTAAATGAAGTAAATGTGAACATGTCAATACAATACGTTTCCTGGCAGAAAGACGTTTTCATTTAAATTTGGACATTACTTTTTCACACAAATGAAAGTGTTTATTTCAAGAGTGGTTTCCCTTCAACCATTATTCATATCTAATATATACACTGTGCTGATCCACCTGATGACAATAATGAAGCGAGTATGTGTTTTAACAATCACAAATAATTGAAAAACAAATTGATTTTAGACTATCGGTTTTAGAGGTATATACTTAAAGACAAAAAATAAACCAATTAATAACATTTGAAATATGCTGCTTATTTCAAGCTGTTCATAAAATGACACTGTGTTAAGACAATAGGGCGACTTAACATTTTCAATGTTTAAAGCTGTTTTCCCTCACACAAACTTCGAAAGTCTGCTGTACCTTGCAGCTCTATGCAGTAATTCCTTTATCTATGTCATGAAACTGACTTTTATAAGTAGAATATAGCACTGCTGATTGTTAGACGACTGTATTCATACTATATTTGATATGTTATTCTATAACAAAAGACAAGAATAAAGATCAACAAGGCAAAGGTAACGTTCACAGGACGCAGCCCCCGACACACCCAAGTATGGCACCCAGAAGGCACCAAACCAAAACCTGGAGTGGACATAAGGGCTGTGAAAGGAGAGGGACAAACATCATTATTTGTTGTATATGATATTTTCAAACTGTGATATTAGGAGTACTCACAATAACCCGGCTGAATTACATTTCTGGACGGCACCTGAATTTAACGTATATCAGGCGTTTCAGGACTTTCGTTACCTTAACCATTGAATGTGTGTTTTGTCATATTCATTTGATGTATGATGTTAAATAAAATATCACATCGGATTTTTAATATTGTTGATGGAAATAAATGTTTATTGACAGCTTATTCGTAATATGTACAGTCGAGGGTTTTTTGTCAGTTTGTTTTTGAAGATAATATTTTTGTATTTATTTCACAGTTATTGAATAAAATGAACAACAACAATTTTAATAAAGCATTGTTTGATTTATCACAATATAATAGTTGTAGAACTAATTGATAAATGGCTTAATTTATCTGTTATCTACGAAAACGGTAACGTTCTCCTATTAGCAGGATTTGTCGACTGATTTTTATTCGGTTTGATATGATGTTTTAACACAAATCAATTTATTTTATTCACAAAGGCTAGAACATTTTTTTGCCATTTTGTCATTTTTCTCAGAATGCTTACAGTTTTTTGTATAGAATTTTTGTAAAAAAAAAAAAAGAAAAAAAAAATTCCAAAGACGATATGTACGAAAACGTTAAAAGGTGTTGGTCGATTTTATCAGATGCTTTAACACAAACCAATTCATTCTATTCACAGACAAGACCGTTTTTGTCATTCTTATTCACTTTTCTCAAAATGCTTAAAGTTTTTTTTTTCTAGGCGAATTTTTGTCAAAAAGACAAATGTTTTACAAAAGATACCTAGACAAAAACTTCAAGCATAACGAGGAAAGATTCGGCGAAATAAATGCTTTGTTAAATCTCATTGAATTAAATAAATTGACTTACACATCAGGATCTCACTGATTGGAGGCCCTTCAACATATACGTTGATTTGGATATAATTATAGTATTCGGTCAAAAGATCTTAAATTATGCTGACAATATTGTGCAGTTATGTTGTTTTGCAACATAAAATATATCGTTTCATGCAATTCTAATTACGACATTTAACCATATTAAATTTTAACCTTGTTAAAAATTGACCCAATGTGCCATTTTTCAATGTTGAGAATTGACTCTACCAAAACATTAACATTTTGATGTCATTGAAGTCTTTGAGAATGATCAATCGTTAAATGTTGATTAAATGCAGGCCATATATAATGGTTAGTTAATTTTAGCTAAACATCTGTTTACAGTAGAGAAAAAGAATCTCTGAAAATAAAAATATTTCACAAGCATAACATGGACAAGACTGGCCCCATACTAAGAACTTTGGCGAGAAAGGCATGATAATCTGTGTGTTAGACATGTATGTTTTACGAAAATTTAAGAGAAATATTTGCAAAGGATGGGTCTTTGTGGTCGGAGTCCGACATGCCCATCGAGACTTCCAGATAGGAACAACTTTTCAAACTAAGTTTTCGTTTGTCCCATGATAATGGTTATTTTACGAACTAGTATAATCAACTGTTGAAATTTATTAGAATATCTAAAGCTAGTCATGGTTTTAAGAAATATTCGTTTAACATTGTGTTTTTAACGACCATATGCTCCATATGGTGTGAAACTGTGAATATATATATCAATCTATGCCCATTAATAAATTAATTTATCCTCGCACGTTGAAACCAATAATGTTACATTGCCAAGGTATGCTTTAGGTAAAAGGAGCTGTGAATAGTTTTCTCATTAACCCTAAATACATATATGTACTGATCAGGGGAAGTCACCGTTACTTTTCAGTGGTTACTTCCCCTGATCAGTACAAAGGAAGTACCAATATGTTCTTAAATACGAACGCATGGCCCAAATTTATGATGAATTGAATTATACATTACATTACATGTTTAAGAAAATAACCCTTAAACATACATAAAAATTGAGTTTTCATCATTGAGATTTGTCTTTTTTGTGAGAATGAAATGTCTGACACATAAAACACATCTCGTTATATAGGGGTAGCCAACCATTTTTTCGAAGAAGTTTACATCAATCGACCTCCCGTTAACTGAAATTCACGGCTGATCGCAGGACTGACATATACTTTTGTTAAAATGTAAATATCAGAGTAAAAAATCATCCTACAGGCTTATGAAATACTTAATTTTTTCTTTCAGAAAGTTTCTAAAATAGTATTTATACTTTACACATTACCTTTATACGTATCTAATAAAGTTTTCCCAATTGCTGACCATGTAACAATACGAAAGTCTGACTTAAAGATAGAAATCGCCATGTGAGGGAGTACTTATATTTATTTGCAGTGATTTTGTATTCAACTCTCGTCATGAGTTAGAACATAACGATTTGGAATGTACTGGAAGCTTCTTGGCTGGAATTATTACAATCCAAATCTAAACATATTATGAGTGGAGTGATCTATAGACCACCTAAACAATATAGACTATTGTAATAGGTGACTGGTGTATCTACAAATGTAAAGTAGAACACACTTATTTCTGAATTTAATTTCCTTAACAACTTTAATGTAAGTCAATTGATACAAACTCTGTAAGAATTTATGATACAACATCAACTACTATAGCACCCAATTGTATAAACGTTGGTTAACTTTAACCACTGGGTCCGAGGTTAGGTTAACTTTTGGGTTAAACTTTGGTTAACCGATTGTATAAAATTTTGGTCAAATTTAACCAGCTTATTTAAGTGTCAGATTCTGACAGAATTTCTCAATCTGGTGTTATTGATACGTCTTTCAGCGATCATTGTATGATTTTTTGTACGCGTAAGGTAAACAAGACATTTGTTGGTAGTCACAACAATATTACAATACGTTCTTAAAGTTTCAACAACTGATTGAACTCCAGTATTTTATGTAATATTGCTTCTGAACCCTGAGAAAGTTTAAAGAGGTTTTTTTATACTAGTTGTAGATAATATTTCTCCTGTAAAGAAATTAAGAATTAAACAAAGACACTGGACCTTAAATTTGTGCAGAGGTTTTAAATTTAATTAAATAATTTTATAACTACAGAATTAATAAAAGTGATTAAAATTCAATAAATTTTTTTTCAATCTCTTCAGAATAAAGCTCAATATCTCATTAATACAACATTTTTTCTTCATCTATGAATCTCTTAAAGAGAACAGAAATGATTCTAAGTCACTTTGGAGAATTCTTAATAATCTTGGCTTACTATCTAAGAAAGCTATGTCTTCTTCTAATACAAATTTACAGTTTGTCCCAATTTTTGTGGTGATATATGTTTTGATAAAGAGTATATTGCTAAATCGAAACAATGTGGTGAATCTTTAAGCACATTTTATACAAAGTTTGCTTCTATGTTTGTTAAAAAAACTACAGGCTAGGTAAAATATGTATGATAAGTCATTTTTAAACTCTTTTTATGCAAGGCTAATGAATCTCCAACAGTTTTTTTAAATTTTACTAATAGTGAAAATGTGGTATCCAAGACTGTCCCAGTTCCTTAAAAATAAACCCAAGTAACTCAGAATAAGCTGTTTAGGTTTGTCTTTGTCTTGACACCAGGTCACATATTGGTCACTCAACTTGTTACAAGTCAATAAACGTGTATATCAGACCATTCTTTGTGATGTTTTAAAATTAAAAAATGGTCTGGTCGCCCCAGATTACATGGAAGAATATTTCATCCCACAGGTCATTTTTTATTCTTACAAGACCAGGTTAGGTAACTAGGGTGCATTTGCCATTCCAAAGGTCAAAGGTTTTGGTTACAAGTCTTTCTGCTTTGTGGGTTGTTCGTTGTGGAATAGTTTGCCAGCCGAATTATCTAGCGTTATCAGGTTACCTTCTTTCAAAGTAACTGTTAAGAAATTACGGAAACGTATAGCGACCACCCCTACATGATACATATCAAATGACTTTTTTTACAGTTTTATAGTATGTGTGTTATATGCAAATATGATTTGATGAAAGAATTACATATTTAAAAAGATGTGTTTTATTTTTTCATTTTGTCAAAAAGTTAAAAGTAGTTTATCTTGTATTATAAGATATATAAAACGTACGATAGATTACAAAAAATACGTATTATATATGATTTACAACATGACTTGATTTAATTGCTTCCTTTATCAAATACAAATGTCTTGACTCTCTCGTGTCACACATCATATAAGACGAAATATTGCTTAAGCTTTGGGATCTCTGTTCCTATATTAGCATCAACTGGTCGAATATGCCGTTTTATATAATATTTATCATGTACCATCCTCTGTATATACATTTAAAATGGTTAATTTGTCGGAAGTTATCGTTTTAAGCTCTATATATTATATATCTTACAGAAATATAATGGTTTCTATGATAACTAATTTACATTACTAATTTACTAATTTACTACTTCACTAGCTTATTTTATGCTTATTAACAACTAATGGAGTTTATCTTTTTTATATAATCTTTATCTTGTAACACTTTCTGAAGCACAATTATTTAAACATTCCTTTATCTTTGGAATATAAAAAGCCTCATTCATATGCCATATATAATCTTTAAAAAAAGCTTTCTATTGTGCGAGATTTGTCTGTCCTCATTATCAGATATAAATTGTAAAATATGTTATATTATATTTTATAATGATAGAGGTATGCGAATAAAAACCTCAATATATATATAACTTTTACATATAAATGAACAGAAAAATGTCACTTAAATTTGAATATAGCAATATTAACAGCAGATTGAGTAAATGATATATATCCAAGATCAGATAACAATGTAAATATCGGTTAAATATATATCGTGTGTTAAATAAATTGTCTTAAATTCTGTTTTTACCAACATGCAGGGGCTGTAGATATTACTAGATAAATATTTCAGATCAAGTAAGTTTGTAAAAATTGGTTAGGTATATAATATGTATTAAATAAATTGTCAAAAAATCTGTTTTAAATAACATATAGGGGTAGTCGCTATACGTTTCCGTAAGAAATACTTAATAAACAGGTAAAATTGTTCAATGCCTTTTGTATGAGTTTTTAAATTGACATCATGTTGTTTCGGTATAAGAGTGACTTTATCTCATATCGTTCATCCTTTAACACATTTCATATGCAATGATGCATTTCTTTTAGTACTACTTTTTGTATTTTCTGATCGCAAGATCAAAGCTAACATCCACGGTCTAACACAAAATTTCCTAACAGACCTAACAACGCAAAGTAGTTCTCACTCAGAACTGCTTAAAACCCAGCAATTTAAAAGAAAGAATAATTTTTAATGTAGGCATTTAACGAATTACAGTGCATTAAAAGTTTAGAGTAGTCAATAGAAATATGAGTTTACAATCACAAAATTCGCGGATGAATATCTTTTTTACCCAATGAAAAATGTTCGGCTATTTCCGTAAAGCTTAATCAATGAAAATGCTATTTTTAGCTATGTCGATTACCGAATACTCCAGAGCGTAGTACACAAATAAATATGACTGTCGAGTAGTGGAATATATACATGTCGTACTGTTTTGTCGAGAAGATTTTCGCTAAATTATTTTCATCAGTGTTAAACAACAGGTTTATCGTGAACAAAATATCTCGAAATTAGTAAAAATTACAAACACGAAATGGAAATTCTCAAATTAGAATTACAATGTATTTGATTTTATTCAAGCTACATATGTATTACTTCACCGTGGTGCACTCGTTTAGGGTGTGAGAGGCCTAAGGTTCAAATTCTAGTCAAGGCAACTTTTTTTTTTGAAGTGTCTTTTTTAAGGAAGTTTTTAAGGAAGTAGCCACGATATGCAAGGATAAAGTGTGGCTGTCATAAAAAATGATTTTTTGATGCACATCGTCATGCAAAATTCCATATGTATCAATCTCAAACTGTTATAGACGCAATCGCTGCGTAAGATTAATTATCGTATATAAAAATAAACTTATACAGGAAAATACATACAGATAGTCAGTATGATTTAGATTGCAAAGATCAGAAAATACCACAGAGGTTGCAGCCCTTTGATTAAAATTCTCATTCCTACTTTTTATAGTTGCGTCTTGGTATGTTGCCATATGTTTAAGTTTGTGACTGTGATACAATGATATTTTGTCTTTACATATAATGATGAAATGAAATATGGACAGGTCTATATAAGATATTAAAGGGAGTGAGGGTTAAATCTGATTTCATTTAATTTCTTATAGCTAATATTTAACAGAATGGTAACGAAAATGTCTTTGATCGTTGTTATAGCCGGAAATCCTTCAGACTGTTTACGGTCGTTGATTATCTCATAAAAAAATACATATTAATGGCTCTTATAAAAAATCGATTTATTGAATTTATAAAAGACAGGAAATGCCAATAAAAAAACGGTAAGAATGTTAATGACTTATAGATCATTATACATTTATGACCTTGTTACAAGACAATATTCCAAGAACACCAGAAGATCACAGACACATGTGACCGACATTTACATACTATATATATATGTCTACAGCAATTTTTATATTGAAAAATACGTTTTATAATGAATACTTAGCATTAAAGTATCATAATAACATATTCAAATATATATACTTAGATGTGCATAAGCATATTAACACCCACCCACATATGTACATAAACACATATATCCACAAATACATAAAACACTCAAATTTGCAACGCATCTTTTAATTTAAACTGATATGCAAAGAATAAAGCATCCGTCATTACTACGAGTTTAACATAATTAGCAGAATACACTTTGACAGACAATACACATACATTTTGAAACAGTATTTAGTAAAAGATAACATGACATAAATACTTTAGGGTTCTAATAAAATATTTTATAGAATTTTTAAACGCTATATGGTGTTTCATAATCTTTTGTAGATTCCTGTGTAAAATAAAATGTTTCTGTTATAAAACGCACATGGACATTATCGGTAAACAGAACAAAATGTTCCGGACAAAAATATTAACGCTGATGTTAACCGTTTAGCAACAAAGTTTTGCATGCACCATTCATTTTTCAAAGAAGTATACAATCATATTTCTATTAAACAGGTATTTTAGAATTATAATTTTTCAAAATTCAAACTTTTTTCCTTGTAAACAACATGCAGTAGTTATATGACTTTCTTCGCTTAAGAAGAAATAATTTCTTACAAATTTGTAGTATTCAAACTATAACATAATTTTATAATATTCTAAAAAAGAAAGTTGTCCATTCCTTATATCAATTCAATGGGCAATATTGATATCAATTCAATGAAAGTAAGTGAATTTTGGATACAGACTTCATATTGAGCACAAAATGAATAATTTACCGATAACTATATTTCTCAATATCAATTTCTAAAGACATGTCATATTAAAAGCACATTATGCCTCAGAAACCAATTCCCTCAACTTCCACCTAAAGTTGACCACGTAAACGATGACAATAACAATATAACGATTCTGAAGAAAAAGAAAATTATAGCAGCGCTAACATAAACCGGCTGATCATTTAAGTGCAATGAAAATAAAGAAGGTGAAAGTTATAGACTTGACTTTGAGCACATTCATGATATATACCTGCCTTGAAAGAGTTTGTTCATTAGATAAAATAACAGGGAAACGTCTCCTACAGTTTATGTATGGTAAAGAGCTGATTAATATAATCTGTAATCAATGCTATATAGAAACTTGAAGTGGCCTTGGGGTTGACAATGTGAAGGTTACCTTAACAGGAAGAACCTATTGTATTAAAACACGAAGTTATTAAATCTTTCTGCCAACCACTTTACATTAAACACAGCATTAATTGCTTGAACGTGTTTCACAATTATCGATATGTGATGAAATGTTATGAATGGCACGGCACCCCGGGACACAATTACATGACTTATTTTAAACGGACATATCACGGTGGAATTGTGTACGACAAATGCAATCCTTGTTAATGCATTGTCACTTATTAAAACAATAACTGAATATATGATTGTGATGGAAATAGTGTAACAAATAAATTCATTACCAAAGCCATTCACAGTTCTAAATGAAGCAAGAACATGATAGGGGTCTTGCATGTTTATCGGATGGAATGCTACTAACTTATATCTCAGCAGCATTCATTCAGATGGTTATTAAAGTGTGAAGAAGGACCTTATAAAAATATATGTATTTGAACTATATTAGTTATCGTGAAATAGTTAAAACCAATCACAACATGATATATTGGTTTTTATTGCAATAGTATTTGCATATTAATATAAAGAAGAAAGAGAAAACATTCATTATACTAAGGAAATATTAGCTGATTGGCATTCAGGATTTCAAAGTTGATTGAATGCTGAATAAATAACTTGATTAAATTTCTTACAAATGGCAGGCACTGTGGGTATGTATTCTTATGGTTCACTTTTTTGACATTTTACATTGATAAATTGCTATGTCAGGTAAACGAACGATAATATAATATTTTGTCATTTTCCAATATGAATTAATGTACCTCTTCATGATTGCAATGGTTCAAAAAGTGTTTCTATGACATAAACATGCATTTTTATATCAATACATAATTTCATCCTTTTAGTCATTTTTAATATTTTCTTTCATGATTTAATAAAAAATTAAAAAAATATCATTTTAAATTGCTTTGAACAATCGTAAAATATGATCAGTAAAATATATTTTATGTAAATTTATTTATTTAACAATATTGTTTTTGTATGAAATCAATCTATCGATAAATTGCATTGTGAGTGATTTAATATTACTTTGATGCCATTAAAAGAAATTAAAATTTTTGACTGTATATGTACTAAAAAATTAATAGCTGTGTCAACTTAATTTTTTTGACTATTTGACTGTTTTAGACGTTAAAATCTTCACAAAACAATTTACTTTTGCCCCTTTTAAAACATAAACATTACGTTTTAAATTTTCAATTTCTAGCAATTTCGACGTTGATTGTTTTACTGTCCAACAGTGAGCGGGATATGGAAAACCTTTGGAATACATTAGGTCCATTAAATGATCCAATGGGGAATAAACACGAAGTTGATCTTGCGTTAGCCGTACATGATGGTAATTTTAGAAGTGCTTTAATTGATGACTGGGTAAATCAGTCATTCACAAATGTAAGTCAATTTATTTTTAAGATAAGAATACAAACTATGAAAACAGAGGTCAACAAAAATTGCAAAACAAACTAAATTTACTGCATTCTTTAAAAAAAATGTTGGTTGTTATTTTAACACAAATAATTAGTATTTGATTTTATTGAACGTGTTATTTAGGTAAAGTATCATACCGACATTAATGAATCTTGTTTTTAAAATGTTTAAATATTGCTTTTCTCAAAATTAACAACGATTTATTGCATGTCGTGCTACAAGATGATTAAATTCAGAATCTTCCATCATGAAACATGCTTCGAAAAACCATGAAAAATACCATAACGTGAACTTTTTCAATAACTACAAAAACAGATAATCTATATATGAAATGCTGATGCCAACTAATCTTAATTCAGATAACGAATATTTCTAGCCACGAAAATTGGTTTGCAACGCTGTATATGTTCCCTTTCTTAGATTTTTCTTTGCGAAAAATATTTCAAAAGTAGCATTTGTCATTGTTTCATGCAATAACACACTTATTATCAAATTTTAACATTTATCGAGAAAAAAATAGCACCATTAAATCTGATGACGAAGAATTAACCTTAAACTACAATCTTGTTTTATAAAAAATTGTAGATATATATTCAAGGAACAAACAAGTTTGGAGACATCTTATGGGAAACAGAGTTTGACGTCACAGGGAAATCATGGACGTTGGATTCTTGGCTTTCTAATGGAAACATCCTAACAACATCATCTTTATTACCTGGCACACAGGACACAACATTTGGGTACACTTAAGAAACATAATTGTAATCCTATTTCATCCAATAAAAGTTGGAACCATTTATTTGGATTCAATATCATTAAACAATTATTTACAAAATACAGAAACATTAGGTGACGTGGCAATTAGAGCCTTGTTTATTTCATTTATAAAACATTAATTTAACTGTAATAAACAATACAGCAATAGACAACCTGAAATAGTCATAATCATGATGATGATTTATAAGATGTAGGTGAGGCATATTTAAATAAAACGAAAGAAAACTTCCCTTTTTTTCTTACATGTCATCAATGTCCCCCTTAACATACCAGCTCCTTAGAATTTTCATAATTATTAATTGTAACAGTTTTTGGCATGTCCTTTCCCTTTTTTCCGCCCTTATGCCATCTCCTACGTTTGGTTCGGTGCTTCGATTCTGGGCGCCATGCAAGTGTGACTGGGTTGTGTAGGGGGTTGCGTTCTGTGAACGTCGCCTTGCCTTTTTTATCATTTTTTTTTCATTTTTGTTTTACAAAAGACAAAGATAACATTAAATGTCATTTATATGTATTTTCGGCCGAAGGCTGGTCTGTTTTCAGTTTGATTTCCTTCATTCTAAGATAGTTCTAAACAAAAATATAAGGAGAATACTTATAAATGTCAAGAATAGTTCTAAAATAAAATGTACAAGATAGTTCTTTAACTTTCTAATTAAATTGGATTTAATCAGATATTTCAGATCTCATTACCTTATCTAGTGAACAGTTTATTTTACGTAAGAATTTACTGAGTTTATTTTACACAAGATCTGACTTTTTAATTTGGTCCATAATAACGAGAATTATGTCAGAACCTGTAAAGTACCCTTAGTTTATGATGCTCAATAAGTGTTTCATATAATATACAAATACAAGACATTTATATAGCGCAAAAATGTATTAAATATTCGATTGCGCTGTACATTATTAAGACTATATACACATATGCTTGATCAAGACACTCCCAAACCCAGTCTCTCGATGGCACAGCCAATCTACAACTCTAGTTGAAAAACAGTCCAAACAAGTATGTTTTAAGTTTGGCCTTAAACTGATTTTCATTGGTAATGTCCTTCAGATAGTCTGACAATGAATTCCACCATTTAGGTCCCACAATAGCCAAGGATCTATCAGCAAGTTTTGAATTTGTTGATGGTATATCAAACCGAATGTGGCTAGATGATGAGGATCTCAGTCTTTTCCTGTACTGACTCTGGCATTTAGTGAACAATTTACGAAGATACAATGGAGCGGTGCCATTTGCAACACGAAATACAGTCACAATAACTTTGTACATGATTCTTGCTCGAATTGGAAGCCAATGGAGTGATTTAAGAATTTCAGCACTGGATTGATTATTGATGTGTTCAATTGATATGATTTTTATATTGTTTTTTTTATATAATTGCATATTAAGCAAGTATTATAAAAAAATTGCCTTACCGACTGCGTAGATGTTGGTGAACGAAATTGCATTCACTTCGCGGAACACGACAGATTTGTTTAGGAACACATACATCTTAAAGTGTTACATTTTACAAGATTAAAAACCCTACAAGAATTTTTTTTCTTATGGAAAACTAAGAACTAACATATGCGAACTAACATATGCAAGTTAACCAGTTTTACTTCGGCCGAATATCATTTCTTAAAGATACTTCTTGTTTCTTTTCATTTCGTTTTACAGTAATCAGAATTATCGGTTCCGTATAAGTCCGTCGGGTAGTGCAGATACATCATGGTTTGCTGTGACTTTCACTGGGTTATCATATGGACCATTACCACGGATTTTTGTTCCACGTTCACCAGACGTTCCTTTCAGCTTACCAGCCTTTATTGATGGTATAATTTAATTCTTTAATTATATGTCAACCTTTTTAATTTGGCAATGTCAGTTATAAGTGTTGAATATAAAATGTCATGATGATACGAGGGCTGTCCAAATAATTCATGAACAACCACGTTTAAATACATACCTCTCAACGTGCTTCTATTTTTTTCCTGATATTTCATACGCTATTGTTAATGAACATACCAAAAACTAGCGGGGTATTATATATTTGATTACACAGAACAAATTACAAAACTTCGTGGTATCGCAATGCGCCCCACGCTCAACGTCATAGTTACGTTATTTGGCATTATGTCAATTTGTCTTCTTCCTGTGTGTATACATGCACTTATATTTTTTTCTGAAACTTTTGATTCTGTTCATGAACAAAATTCATGTGTACTAAATAACAGAGTCCGTGGCTGAGTGGTTATGATCGTTGTCTTCAAACCACTTGCCCCTCACCGCTGTGGGCACACCTGTACAGTGTTAAACCTTAAAAAAGAAAGAAAGGCATTCTTTCTCACACCTCGTTTAAGAATCTATTATAGGAGTATGAAAACAGCTTAATAATGTAACTTATTATAAAACTATTTCATTAGATATATCTTTATACCCTTTACAAAATAAAGTTAAATCGTCGTATTTTATCTAGGTGTCTTTGTTTTCGCCACCCTCTTGCAATTTTCCCATTCTAGAATTTTAAAAAGCTATGTGGCAGCTGTAAAAAAGTACTCCATAGCTCATCTCAATCTAGTTATATTTCTCTAGATCTTTGATTCCAATACTTTTGATTATACTTTTGAGCACAGAAAACCGCTTAAGCCGGTAATATAGATGTTTCACGTTACATCAGCTGAGACCCAACTTTCAATCATTGATTTTTCTTTTCATTCCTATTGATCCAGATCGTTTTTATTCTTTTAAAAAGGAAAAGAAAATATTATATTTCGAACGTTTTGATGATATTTTTGAATAATTACCAAAGTTTTTTTTTTAAGGAAATCTCGGATGTTGGAACAAAGATATGTTGCTCAATGTACATCTGATGTTTTCTAATGACACCATGACCCCAACTGACTGTATTGCTGCATGTGTTGGCAATGCAAGTACTGCAATTATAACTGTGAGTAGATAGGTGTATTCAAGTGCATGTGTATGAATATTTAACCTGTTTTGTACCTTTTGAATAATTGTATGATGTTTTTATACAAGGTATGACATTGATACGGTATTTGTTTTATAAATGAAGAGACAGTTACATGATTGTTTTATTGATTCCAATTCTTTTATTGTTAAAAATAAAGCTCTGTTTAAAGAAGGCTCTAGGGGATGCTGTAGTTTCTATTTTCTTTATTGCTCATGAACTGACTGCGATTTTCAATAACGAATTTGCCTTTAAATGAAACATTGGCATGTTATTGCGATTTTAAATGCACAGGTTTTTTATGACATGAATCCTGAATTGATTCAGGTGGGGCAAAACTGCTTTTGCGCAGACCTGGACCCATTAAATCCACCAATAAATAATGCCAGTAATTGCTACATTTTCTGCTCATCAACCATACAACTATGTGGTGGATTCAGCGACAATTTTGGTAATGCGTATCATATACAAGGTAATAAATGTATGATATGTGTGATATTCTTGATATAATAAATTTGCAATATGAAATTGATAAATACAAAATGTATTTTAATATGTGTGGTCTTCTCTGATGTGAGTAATAATATTAAGAAAAATGTCCGACTTCACCAGATATTTTCCATTTCCTTTTCACATATAATACAATCACATATAATACAGTACTTTATTTATGAAGAAGAAAAAAACAAAAACATCTAATTGCTATAAACTAATTGATAAGCGTCTTTTTAGGCAAAAAGAATATGTAATTGAATGACAAGGATTTATGAAAAATTTGTCTTGTTCTTTTCTCTATTCAGGCCATTATCTACCAGGATATATCAACATTAGCTTATTGTTCATGAGTTCATACGAAATAAGTTCAAACACGATTGAGGTATGTAGTCAAGTAAATGCGGCCATAATTTCTTTTAAAGGAGCTCCACTGAGGTCCAAAAGCATAAAAACATAAAATTTGAAAATATTACAGAGATCAACAGAAAAAATATGAAAAGGATAATAAATATACACTGAATTCAATTGAAAACCAATATTGAGTGCGATTCTCAAATATATTTGTTTTAAAAGCGTTACAACGCTTTTCAATTTTATGTCATTTTGCAGTAAATAAGTATAATTATTCTGGAAAAAGGAGTGAGCAAATGATCTGAAATCGCAAATTTTTGGTACAAAATGTATCGATTTTTATCATATAATATGAAAATCAAAAAAAAAAAAAAAAAAAATTTTTGGTCTCGTCATTTAAAAAAATCTCAGTAGAGTCCTTTTAATAATAAACGATTTTTCTTACGCTTTATTTAAAGTCCTTTGATAGTTTACATTAAATATAAACGTTGCATGATAAAATGATTATACGTATCAAAAAGGGTGCATTACCTAACCGACCAACTTGCATTATAGACTTTTAATTACTATATGTAAAATTGCTTGTCGAGAGATCATATATATATATATATTATGCTTGAATTATTGTTCTGTAATAAATTCTTCAAAATAATTGTGTAAAGAAGTGCGCCATTGAAAAGCAAACAATGAATTCAAGTGTGAAGCAACATGTGTTGCACATTAAACAACTGCTGTCTTTTCATAGAGGTATTATAACAATTATACCAAGGTATGAAATCAATTAAGTCGGATTCTAAACATTCGTTGGTTTACTTCAGCTGATAAAAATCAAAACCTTATTGCATATTATATCCAACACTTAAACATCTTTTAATCTAGTGGTGGTAAATGAATTTTGACTTTACAACACATTATAACAACATAAAAATGCACTAGTCGGCCAAATTTTAACAGAATTAAATCGTGCAGCACGATAGCTCAGCTCAACACTTATCAAAGACCGTATCGCCAAAAATTACCAAAGGTTTCAAAATTTATTGGCTATCGACATGTAAAATGTCTTTGGCCATATTTACAATTAACATATATGGCAAAGACAGACATATTGTATAATATATACAAAAGCATACAAACATCATATAAAGTATTACAAAAATTAATATTTCAAACATTTAAGAAACAGTAATATTTTCCAGGGTATTGTTTCTCAACTTATGTATTTAGCAATATTACATATTTTTTTCTTGTTCTTAGTTGACATATAACTATTATAAATATTCTTACTAGGCCAAGATACATTACAATGATATTTAATTCTAAGATTTCTATATTTACTACAACAAAACATTAAATGATATTCATTTTCAATTACATTTTGGTTGCACATTTTACACAATCGGTTTTCTCTAACTATGCCACTATAACGGCCTGTTTCAATTTCTAAATAGTGTGAGCTTAATTACCAATTACGATTTTTATTCGGAGAAAGGACCAATCAATCAAGATATTTGCATGTCATGACATTACACTCTGTGACTATCTTTTGACTATCTTTAACAATAATTTATTTACATCATTAGATAGATATGTCTTATTATTTACCTTCCATACTTAAAGAGGGTATTCGATGTATAAAGGCATGATTTAATACTTTGCATTGTATTGAATCATTACTATAATTAGTTAAAAAAAAAGGTCTTTGTCACATAATGTCAAAAACTCTTTACTGTAACGTTTTGTTTATATTTTTTACGGCAGATCGATGTTTCTGAAATATCTGTAGGCAATCAGATTTCTCCTGCTTTTATATCAAATATCTCGGTGAAAGCTATTCCACTTGATCAATATTCAGTTCAGTATTCAACAAGTAACTGCTCGCACCCAGGTGGAAATATGAAAGATTTATCATTTGATGCTGTAACGACAAAGGTATGTAAGCAAGTGTTTCCTGAGCCTGAAAATATTTCAACTCATTTTCATTTTATTTTTAAATCATTCATGTATCTTCAACTTCTTATCATTTCATAAATATCATTTGTCTGATTCGCGTTATTCTTAATAGGCTAGAATACTTTTATTTTGTAAAATAGTTATCATTATACAATATTATTTTTTTCTAGATAGAGTATGATATTGTTTTTCCCACATTTTCACATGGTAGTTTACCTGAACAGACAATTATTATCAGTGTTGCTATCGAATGATAATACATATATAAATATTCAATATTTAGACAGAACTTTTTCTGTAGAAGAAGTAAAAAATAAACAGTTATCGGCTAGTTTTCTTTGTCGGGTATTTGTGAAGATCGATTGCAATCAGTAATTTTTGGCTAACAATGATTCGTCTATATTTCATTTGTATAAAGATTAATGTTACAATATTACTATATTTTGGGCAAAAATAATGAATTCTATATTTGAATATTTAGGATAAACTGATACAAGATTGTTTTCATATAAATGCGAATTAATCTAATTAGGGCGATTAATCCAATCTTGCTAAACAGTATTTCAGCTCTTCCAAAACTGGAAAGTGATTGTAATTTTGAATCCAGTTATGATTATATACAAGAAAGGCTCTGACTTAATACGATTTACCTTTCGTCCTCTTAGATCTGAAACAGGCAGATACAATAAATGTCTTCAAAGAATAGCAAACCATAAAATTAAAGATGAGCCATGTCAACATGGCCATCCCCCGCCGAATGTGTTTGCTCATTGGAAGAATGTATATGAAGTAGAGCAGAATAATTCCATTTTAAGAGGTATTTTGGTAATGAAAACTGATGGCTATAGTGATTACAGATTTGAAACCTATGCACCTATGAAGTTTCATGTTGATATCTCAAAGGCCTTTTGAGTTATGCTCTGGACAAAATTAATTTTGAAAAATAACAAAGGGCAATAACTAAACAATTATGCAGGATAGAGTTATTGTTCTTGTGCATTGCATTCCTCCTCAATGAGATCCATCCAGCTATGAAGTTTCAAGTTGATACCTCAAATACTTTTTGAGATATGCTCCGGACAAAATAGTATGAAAAAGAACAAAGGGCAATAACTCAAAAATTGTATAGAGAAGAGTATCATTCTTGTGCACAGCATTCCTCCTCAATGAGATCTATCCACCTATGACATTTCATGTTGACATCTCAAACACTTTTGAGTTATGCTCCACTCGGGTGAAAAATTAAGTATGAAAAATAACAAAGGGCAATAACTCAAAAATTATAAAAGGTAGAGTTATCGATCTTGTGCATTGCACACCTTCTGAGTGAGATCTATGCACCTATAAAGTTTCATGTTGATATCTCAAAGGCGTTTCGAGTTATGCTCTGGACAAAAATTAATTTTGAAAAATAACAAAGGGCAATTATTCAAAAAATATGCAGGGTAGAGTTGTCATTTTTGTGCACTGCACTCCTCCTCAATGGGATCCATCCATCTATGAAGTTTCAAGTTGATACCTCAAATACTTTTTGAGATAAGCTCCGGACAAAATAGCATGAAAAAGAACAAAGGGCAATAACTCAAAAACTGTATAGGGAAGAGTTATCATTCTTGCGCACAGCATTCCTCCTCAATAAGATCTATCCACCTATGACATTTCATGTTGATATCTTAAACATTTTTTGAGTTATGCTCCACTCAGGTGAAAAATTAAGTATGAAAAATAACAAAGGGCAATAACTCAAAAATTATGAAAGGTAGAGTTATCATTCTTGTGCACTGCACACCTCCTGAGTGAGATCTATGCACCTATGAAGTTTCATGTTGATATCTCATAGGCTTTTTTGAGTTATGCTCTGGACAAAAATTAATTTTGAAAAATAACACAGGGCAATAACTCAAAAATTATGCAGGGTAGAGTTATCATTCTTGTGCACTGCACTCCTCCTCAATGAGGTCTATCCACCTATAAAGTTGATAACTCAAATATTTTTTGAGATATGCTCCGGACAAAAATGTCGGACGGAAGGACGGACGTACGGAAGGACGGACGGACGGAGACTATTACTATATCCCCCGCCGCCTTTTCGGCGGGGGATAAAAAAATAATGCTTTATATTTTCGTACAAGTACACTTGATATTATAAAAGTCTACTGATCTTGTACATAATTATATTTGTCTGATTATTTGTACAAATATAAAATGTTTTCCTGAATGAAAATATTAGATAAGAATGGTTTATTTCAACAGTTTGTTTAACTATTATCCTTTTTTGCTTTATTTTTGTTTTCTTTCGCTTATGTTTTTAATGTTTTTACGAAATTCATGTTGAAAAAATAATTGAAATGAAATTAAAATAAAGAATATGAAATAAATTTTTTTTTGTATAAATTGTGATAACTTAGAATGATTGATATAAAAAATAACGCAATTCATTTCTCTGTCTATAGTGTATTTTGCCCCCCCCTCCCAAAAAAACAAAAAAAACAACAACAAAAACAAACAAAAAACAACATATTTTTAATTTGTACAGATAGTATTGTACACGTTGTATAATACCTTATTTATATCGAACATAGAACATATTCTTGACAAACACAATTAGAACTTCAACTATGCCAATAATTTGTTACATACATGTATATACGGGTATTTTAGGCAAAAGTAACTTAATATTAGATATAATTAAATTTCAGATATTTGAGGGCGACGGAAGCGTTACAAGTGTTGATATTCTCATGATTCGATGCTTACAAATTCAATTTGTTACTATAATTCCAAATATTGTTCACGTTCAACTTTGGGGTCCAGACGGTAATACTTCAAACTTAATAAATGTATCTTAAATTGTGAAATACTCAGGATATGTTAATCATTAGAAATACTTTGAAAAGAGTGAATTTGTTTCATAGTGCAATACATTTTGATTATGATTAAGAAGTTCTGGCAAGTTCGGTTTCCAGTTCGGTAGTTATCAGTATCTATTATCGCTTGATTTGTTTCAAATGTTTCATTTTTTTCATATACTTTTATTATTTTATATTCCTTGAAATTCTACACTATATAATGATACTGTTTATATAATTTTAGATGTTTCAATGTTTTTAATGTTTGATATTATTGTTTTTATACAAGTCACATGCCTTTAAATAATCAGTCAAACATTGTTACACTTTTTTAGTGTCATCTGAACATATAATAGCGTCTGCACTAGTGATAAGAGGAACATCAGAGGCAGGTAGGCTTTGTTATCTTCTTGTATGTTCGGTTATGTAGGTCAAGTTTTATACAGATATTTAAACTGAAAACGTTTGTTTGAAAATGACGCAAGTATTACTATATCTGTGCAAATCTCTTAAATATATAGTGTAAAGCAATGTCGCACACATGACATTCTCTGAAAATATCACCCAATCCTGCTCCCCTATCCTCGTCGATCAAAACCTGGTAGCAAAACGAAATTAGTACATATACAAACACACAAAGAGGTATGAACCTACAAAAAAAAACTATTATATAATATGATTTTATGACACATACAAAACATTTTCCAAAATGTAATTATTTAAGGTCAATTTTTGAGCGTTTTGTATTTCATCTGCCTTGTATTTCTTAATATCTTGGCAAATGACAAGAGACAGAACATTTTACCCTTTTCAAATTCAATTATCCATTTTAAATTCTCAATATATCAAGTGGTTTTTATTTTTACATCAGTAACAACGTCTAGTTCCACTACATCTTTAACAACAACAGCACCGACAACAACAACAACATCAGCACCAGCAGCAGCGACAACAACAACTGTGTCAACTACGACAGCATCAACGAATACAAGTAATTCGGTCTGTTATTGTCCGTGTAACAGTTCAGATTTAACACTGACAGACGAACAGTTACAGGTAAACACAGTCTGAATGTAGATATAATTATGCTTTGTTAGTAAAAAGATTTCTGTCAAAAGGTACAATATTCAAACACAATACGCATCTCATATTATTTACAACAAGAACCTGAAATGGGAACTGTAGGTTAGGAATAAATATAAAGCTTATGTTTTTGTTAAACTGATGCTTTCCTGATTCTTACATAAAACTGTGAAGGGGTATCTCATAAATGATAAATTTGCACATTTCTCAGTTATTTTTTCATTGTCAAGTTGAGCTGCATTGACTGTATATTCTAAAAAAATGACTGATAAAATCGTGATTGACGTACGACAATAAATATTGGATAATGTTGGAGGATGAAATATAAATCTGCCTAAAATATAAAAGGACTGCCCCACTCTTAATAAATTGAACGTTATAAGTAATTTCCAAAAATAAATATTTATTATATAGAAATTTCCATGGCTCACTTGAGTTATCATTCATGCGAATTAAAACATAAAGTTCAGGCAGAATTAGGGCAAAATATCAAGATGGTTTGACTTTTACCTGTTCACTCATGAAAGATACTCTTGGATAGGCATAATGTCACTTTTAACTCTTTTAACTTGTAGCATTTATTTTGCATTTCAAAGGACAAACTAGACGAAATAAAACGCAATCTCACCATGAATGTTTCAAATCTTTCTTCAAGAATTCGAAAGCTAACAAGTGCCGAGGACAAACGTGTATCTGCTGTAAGCATTGGATATGTCGGTGTTGGTATATTGGTAGTGATCTTTTCTGCAATAGTCTTTATAGACTCATCATTGCTGTACAAAGACATTAAGAAATTTGTGGACAACATTAAGAATGGAATTTGTTGCAAAATAAAACAGAAACATTAGCATAGTGGTAGATTTTCAATATAAAACATATCAGTAGCTTGCAATGTTTGTTTGTTTTAAGAAACAATTGTAAAATAAAAATAGTCCGAAGAGGTGTCTTTCGTAGCCAACGGGAATGAAATTGTTGAGCTGTTTGAAATTTAGAATGAGGTTACAAGATTGACATTTAGAATGAGGTTAAAGTTTGACATTTAGAATGAGGTTACAAATTTGACACTTAGAATGAGGTTACAAGTAACTTATAATAATGTTACAAATTTGAGATTAAGAATAAATTCACAAGTTTGACATTTACAATGAAGTTTCAAATTTGACATTTAGAATGAAGTTACAAGTTTGACATTTGGAATGAAGTTAGAAATTTGACTTTTTGAATGAGATTACAATACAATTTAGAATAAGGTTACATTTAGAATGAGGTTACAAGTTTGACATTAAAAATACTGTATTATCAATCACACGCTAGTATGACAATGAAAGTATAAGTAGGCAACGACGATGTCTAGAAATTGACTGTTGAACATATGCACGTGATTCAAAAGGCATTCTTTTACTTTTTACTCTAGAGATGGAATGGCACATGGAACATCTATGTCGTAAAATATGTAATAACAACTAATTCATCATCTGTGTAGAAACAAAGAATAATTGTTTTGTTTGTTTGGTTGTTGTTTGTGTTTTTAGTGCGTGTACTTTTTGTTATTATGTCCTGGCATATGCCTTCTGTCCATAGTCTGCATTATTTGCATTTGTCAGTCAGTACATATTTCAAAATTTTACGTGTATAACTATTGATAACATTATTGCAAAAATTAAATATAGATTTATATTCGTTCAATACATATGTTATAGTTAGAATATTTTAACAATCTATTTCTCGAATGTAGTTAACGTAGATTGAGCGATTACAGAAATATGTAGTTTGATATCAAGTACAAAAATGTAAATGATGGCAACTGTAAATGTAAATTGTTTGATATTTAATGTATAGTCTTACAATTTTACAGTGACATTTTGATCTATTGTAACATAATATCTGCTTGACGGATGTTTCTCTCCATACTTCAAAGGAAATTTTTTATTGCTTTCCATATTGTCTTCATGGCTTCGAATTTTCTGTAATTTTCTACATAAACGGTTCTAAGAGAAAATGAGGTCATTATATTCTGATAGATTGCGTGGTTGAGATATATTTTATTAAAGGTCGATATCACAAATTATAACTGAAATCCTAAATAATGCTGTAACAGCCATAACATGTTCATTTCAAGATGAATTGCAAGGGAAATGTTAAGGACTTTTAAATTAAATACTTTAGTGAGAATGAAGAAGAGTCTTACGTATAGTATATCTGTGTACAAGATGAATTAATAAAATGACTTATATCATTTTGTTTGTTGTCCATAAATTTTCTCATTATATTTAAGAGATTAAGCATCAACGTCTGCAAGAATAATGGTTTGATATCCATTGTTCTTTTAAAGGTTTTCAGGTTTATATTAAAGACTTAGTTTCAGTCATCATCAGCATGTACTTAATGTTTTGCAACTTAGTAACTTAGCTTGTATTTTATCTAATAAAGAAACTACATGACGCATTATTCAATATCTCCTATTTTTGAATATCAATACATTACATTCTAACTACATACATGCGTAATTCATTCTCTGATTGGTAATTGTAATTGAATACGCGTTGTTTTAGTAATGTATTTATTCATTTTATATGAATTTCACGCGGTGTTTGTTTTGTAACGTCCCAATGTCGCAATCTTAGTCCTTGTGCTAAATTTAAACAATTATCGATTGATAAATATAAATCCGTTCTACATTGAATTGATCTCCAGAAACGCTTTGAACGCCGCCTTTCCTTGTTGATCTTGTTTATTATATTTCATTTTGTTAGTGTTACTGCATATACATATTTTTGGACCTTCAGGATCATTGATTCGAGCACTTTAAGTTTTGAAAATTGCCTACCGCTTAATACGGTGCTAGGGGTCGTGCTATTTTGTTGTGATTAATGTTTTCGAGGGGTCACCCTTTTTCCAGACGTTTGTATCACTAGTTTTCTATATAGTTCCATAAATGTTTTGCAGTAAATCATTCAACTCTTTAACAGATTTTACTAATAATATCTGTCATATTTTGCGGTTCGGATCGGAATATCCGTCCCGAGGTGGCCCGCCCATTGGGCGGTAACGAGGCTTGCCGAGTTACCGCCCATGGGCGGGTGACCGAGGGACGGATATTCCGATCCGAACCGCAAACATATGTCAGATGTTTTTTCTTGCATATTCTACCATATTCCATTGTATTTTAAATTCAATTCTTTATCTTTATTTTCAATGAAAATTTATATCATAACAACCGTAACTACTTTCTTACAACAGCGTATGAATTACAAATGACGTCATCCTAACCGTGACATTGTACAGCACGCGACTCATCTGGAACCCCCCATGTCAGATGAAATTTTCGGCATGGGTAAAACTCACGGAAACGCCAGTCTGATATGCAAGAAAACATGTTATGAAAATTATATTCCCTGTACCAATTGAAATAAATCACATACAATGGAATCGGAACCGCATTGTCGTCAAATAATATATTTTCAAATCAATCACACAACATGTGTCTTTGATATTTTCAAACGGCACCAACGATGATCGGTCGAATAACGAGCAAATCGCTAACATAGCATGGTCATGAAATTCATTTATGTAAATCGCTGTCATAGTTAATAATAACGTAAAATAGCATGTTATAACGGAAGATTTGAAGGAATATGATATTTAAATAAAAAATAAAATGGATTTTTTTAAAGAATTGTGTACCATTTGATGAAGATCTAGACGCAAGATTTCAGATCATTTGCTCACTCCATTATTCCCGAGTAATAAAAGTTATTGTACAAAATGACCCAAATCAGGTCAAGAATCGCAAAATTCGATTGCCATTGTGAAGGTGTGCATACCTCTTCATTATCTTTTGTATACATTATTACATATTTTCCTATAGTGCATCATTTGATCTAATTTAGAATTTGAAATTTTTATAAACCTATGTGGAGTGAAATACTTATTTAGATTTAAACTAAAGATACGAGAATTTAATCTATGTTATGTTTATAAACTCTCCCTTTCAAAAATCCATTTTATTTAGTTACACACATTTTTTTTTCGTTTAGGGCACACGCATTTGTTTACTTGGGGGCTTTTCATAGAATGACACTTACGTGTTTAAATTCCAAATTGTACCAGTTCATGTAAAGTGTTTAATTCTGTTTAAGCCAGTGCTAGGGAGCGTGGACGGTAGATTGCACTTGACAGTACCGTCCATGAACAGGCTCAATCAACCCGAGTCTGCAACATTTTTATATTGGGCTTTCTTTAGGGATTCTTTGGGCTATCTTTAGGGATTCTTATTTTCTATATTTTTTCCATCTTGAAAGAAGTTAACTGGAACATTGATCAGTTTTTGTTTTGTTCTTAGTAAAAAGAAGTTGGCCAATTTTCCTCTTTATGTTTTATTGATTGAACATATCTCTATCTGTTTGTTACTTTAAATGAAAGAGTTTATCATTAGTTATAAAGATTTTGGACAGGTTATATTACCCTTTGTTTGTATAACATGGGTTTATATGGCAAATAACCGATTATATATAGCCATATAAATTGTCAAGAATGTTTGCAACGAATTTACAATACAGCAAACTTCCTTCATTTGAGAAATGAAATAACTCTCTTGAAGGAATTCAGTGAATCAATTACCAATGCACAAATAAATTATGTTTTATTTCAGAAAAAAACAAAACATAATGACAACCTTCTTAGAAAAGTAGAAAAAAACGGCAAAACTTGAAAATGTTGCAGACTAGGTTTGATTGAGCCTGCTGGTAAGTACGAGCCCCATTCAAGCACATTATCACCAACTTAAGCAGTATTCAACATTTTAACACTGTCAGGGTAATTGTGATTTTTTTGAATTCGGAGACATCTACAGCTGTGTTCATTCGGCTGTGACCAATGTAACATGTTCGTGTCATTCCATAAACAGCGGCGTATAGTTCAGATGATAAAAAGAAAACTAAGGATGTTACTAAATAAAATAGAAATTGAAATGGAAACAGAGATTATGAACCACCCTGCTTATCATAGATAAGACTTGCAGGCTTCATAACCTCTGATCCCCTTTCAAAATTCCATTTTATTTAGTTCCGACCATTGTTTTCTCGTTTAGGGCACACGCATTTTTTTTACTTGGGGACCATGCCGCTTTTTATGGAATGGCACTTACGTGTCACATTAAAGGTTCCATGATATCCGCCATATGAACACATCTGCGGATGTTTCAAAATTGTACTAATTCATGTTAAATGTTGAATTCTGCTTAAGCCGGTGCTAGGGGGCGTGGACGGTAGTTTGCGGAGTACCGTCCATGAACAGGCTCAATCAAACCGAGCCTGCAACATTTTCAGTTTTGCCGTGTTGGGCTTTCTCTAGGGATTCTTATTTTCTCTATTTCAAAAGACAAGTTCAGCAGGCAACATATCCTGATGGAGATTACATGGTATTAAAGAAGGAATACTGGAACTACACAATAAGATAACAGTTTAAATAGAATGACCTTAAATGCCCTAAACACAACAATAATGCCGTTCTGTTAATCAAACATCTAGCGACATGTTACGGCTTCAACAAGACACAAATAAATGCTTTTCGTTACCTTTCTTGACGTGTCAAACATGTCTAAACAAAATGAATTAATTAACAAAGAAGAAGGCTTAAAAATAGAATGAAATTTGTGGATACAACGTGAGGATACAAACATATAAGGAACAATTACGTTCGGTTTTATCAGCAGAATTTATAATACTAGTTCATTAATTGAAAAACAACTCGATTATAACAAAAATAGTTTAGATTGTTCCTGTACTGGAGATGAGCAACTTATATTCATCTTCTCTTGGATTTCAGGAATCTCAAATAAACGTTCTACACCAAATATTCTACCACACCCAGCAAAAAAGGAAGAATATATCGATACAAATTAACTTTCGTTTTTGTTTAAAGCTCTTGATTATACAGCTTTCTGGAAACATTGCCCTTAATCCGGGACCCATTAAATTTCCTTGTGGCGGCTGCTACACGCCTGTAGCTTCGAACCACCGTGTAGCACCCGTGTAGTGTCCTGCGAGGCATGCTATTGGTGGTGGCATATCAAATGTGCTACTATTTCAGAGAGCAAATACGCCAAACTTAGTAAGGATGAAATCCCTGGCTGTGCGGCAAATGTAACACACACATACTTCGAACCAAACATCAGCATAGACTCTTCATTTCAATCGGACTATGAAGACAACGATATTCCGGCTATATATACTTACAAAAATTAAAATTGGAAATCCAAATAAATTCATGTGTATTTATGAACATTAACAGGAAAAGAAACACATTAGTTTTTTTAAGAGAAATTCTTATTAAGATATTGTTGATATCTTATTTATTGCAGAAACAATACTAGATAGCTCTTTTCCGGATGCACAATGACAGGAGGTGAACTGTTATTATTTATGGCGTGCGGAGAGAACTGACAACGGTGATGGGGCTGCATTGTATTTAAGGTCAGACATAGCTGGAGACAGAAAATCAGATCTAGAATTTACAGATATAGAATCATATGTATAGAGGTAATCTTAAACAAAAAGAAATGGTGTTTGATGGGGGCGTATCAACCATCCTCAATGTCTATGAAAGTTTTGAACAAAACTGTATGACAACTCTAGATAAATTTAGTTCTTAGTATGATGACTATGTCTTGCTAGGAGATCTAAATTTTGATTAACTTGATCCAACCAAATGTTCTCCTTTAAACGATACCATTAATATTGTTTTGTCTAGTCTAATAAAGAATGCCACTTGTTTTACTAAAAATGGTTTACCGTCTCTTCCGGATGTAATTCTAACTAACAGCCATTCATCTTTTGGAAAAATATGTAATTTAACTTGGGGACTGAGTGATGTGCACAATTTGATTGTATTTCAGCTAAACATGAGGCTGAAAGTAAAAAGACAAACTAGATTAACCAAAGGTCTTTTAAAAATATTGACCCGGAAAAGTTTAATGAGGACTTACAGGCATTTATTAAACTTAAGTGTAGCATACACAAACTTTAGCAAAAAAATTATGGAAGTCACAAACAAGCTCCTTTAAATTGCAAAAAAACGTCCAATGGATCTGTCAAAACTATATATGAATGAAACCTTAAAACAATCCATATATAAGAAACGCATGTCACAAAATACATGTTATAGATACAAAATTTTTAAAAACTGGGAAAAATACTGTAAACAAAGAAAACAA